TTTATGTAGAGATTTAAACTATATTCATTATATCAGTGCTTAACAAATTTATTAAAACAAATTTATGTAAGGTTTTTAACAAATTATGTAAGGTTTGTGCCACTGCTGCTCTAAACTAACAGTATTGGTGATTACCAAAATAATTGTTTAGCTTTCTGTATTGGTTAGTCCTCCAATTTGTGTAAGCTCTTTAGTAACAGTAGTAGGCTATTTCTAATGCTATAATATAATTATTGTTGTTATCTATGAAAGAAAGGCAGAAAAAAATAGTCAAGGTTTTTTTTTCCAGATGTTATTGCTGTTATCTATGAAAGAAAGGCAGAAAAAAATAGTCAAGGTTTTTTTTTCCAGATGCACAATTACAGTCAAAAAGTACCTAAACAATGCCAGCAAGAATGCAAGCTGTTATGAAAGGCATAGGAGACCATTTTTGTTATTATGTGAATAAAGACTTTATTTTGTTTCAGTTTGTTATTTGCCCAGTAAACGGTAATAACATTTGTTAAGCACTGTATGTTTTTATAGCATTCAGTTGGCACGTTTGTTTAAAGGACACTGGGCAGAATGTGGAAGTGTTTTTTGTCAATAAAATAAAAAAATAAAATAAACATTTTTATCCGATTAATCGAAAAAAAGAATCTGCCAATTAATCGATTATCAAAATAATCGTTAGTTGCAGCACTACTCCCAAGTTTTGAATGTAGTGTGCAAAGTCTTTAAAAAGTCCACAGACTGTATTTTTTTATTCAAACCTTAATAAGTTTCAAGATTTTGAAAAATGTCATCACACTTTAATTCAAGGTCCAATTCTCGCTATTAACAAACCTTTAACTATGACTTTTGCCTCAAACTCCTACTTTGCTGCTTATTAATAGTTAGTAAGGTAGTTGCAATGTTTCAGTATTGGGTAGGATTAGGGATGTAGAATATGGTCATGCAGAATATGTGCTTTCTAAGTACTAATAATCAGCCAATATGTTCAAAATATGCATGCTAATAAGCAACTAGTTAATAGTAAGAATTGGTCCCTATACTAAAGTGTTCCCAAAAAGTCAAAATTCTGATGTAAAATCGACATGAAATATTCCTAAATTTCTTAACTATTCCTGGGTCACTGATCAAATACATACATTTCTGACACTGATCGTGTGTACAGACAGACTTTCAGATGTTCTTTTTTCCAATGAAGCACAATATGCTCTTAGGATCATCCTCAAATCACGCAAGAGAATATGATCATCAGGTTCTACACAAACTTGTGGAGTTTGCAGCTCAAGAGCTGCTGTCACTGAAGTAAAGAGGACAACCAAATACTAAGAGACTCATACTGTTATGCTGATAATATAAGGTGTAATAAAAAATAGTTTTCAACTAGAAAATGTAAAATATAATCCTTTTTACTAGTGGTCCCAAAATTATGAATCAAAATGCATGCAAAACACATTATGTACATGATTAATGACTCGGACGCATCAAAACAGGCCAGAAATCGATACGGCGACACTTCAAAATATGATAAGAGCAATCTGCATTTACACATATTTATTTATGCTTTTATCCAAATCATTATGCCATGTAAAATAAACACAAGTTAAGTCAATGGCTCTGTTAATGGTACTCCATGATAAACTATAGAACGGCACTTTTGAAACACAGGACCTACATACAGTGTGAACCTATAACTCTCTTACGGGCAAGTCCCTGATCAACTCATAAAACCACAGCTGCTTTCAGAACCCTTAAAAACCCAAACAGCGATCAGATCCCTCCATTCAATGGGTCATTTGAGACCATTATGTTCATTAGGGGATTTTCAGTGTTAAAGCTTTTGACCTTAAGTGTTTTATTAGGGCCTTTCGCACCGCGGGAACCTTTTCATAGTACCAGAACTAATTGTGGAACTACCCACTTTTTGGCGTTTTCGCACCGCTAGAACTGGGTGCGATTTTAGTACTGGACTGCCTTTTTCGAGAACCAAATTATCTCCTACTCCGGAGCAGGGTCTAACCAGCACAACTGGTACTAATCGTGACGTAAGTAGACATTGATTGGCCAAACGCATATGAAAACGCCCTCACCCGCCATGATTTAAAATGCCGTGTAAACATACTGTAAACATTGTGTCAACTTATTTCGCAGGTATGGAGAACAGCGATAGATGGACGGACGCTGAAGTGCAGGCACTTGTAGCAAATGTAGCACTGCCAGTTGTCGTTGTAGATTCTTAGTCCTCCTTTCCGTTCTTTCAATCGCTTTACGTATACGTCGACTTTCCATGTCCATTGTTGTGAAACCCGCGAGACACAACAAAAACACAGCTGCGATCACAGCGTCCTCCATCCTCCTGTTGTTAATGTTGTTCTTATTTGTTTCTGTTGTTGAACGCCGCGCACAAATGACGACGCTGTCGACCGGCTTACGTCACTTCTTAGTACACACTCTCGGTGCGAATGCAACCCTTTAAATAGTACTGGGAAATAGTTCGCGCAAAATCGTCCCAGTACTTTGGTACTGTACATTTAGTTCTGGAACTAAAGCAGTGCGAAAGGCCCTACTATTACGACAAGTTAACAGCACCCTAAAAACTTTAGTGACATCCCTTTAAATTCCATAATGGATAGGCATACAGTTGTATGTATACAGTTTAATGAGGCATACAGACTAATTAAAGCCACACTGGCTTCAACACAAAGCTATTTAAATCTAATACATTGCACATCAGTTTTTGTTTCTTCAGACTGCTTGATCAGTACACTAAATTTATGAACACATAGATATTTCAGAATTTATTTAAATTTTAAATATACTGGATATTAGATATTAAATATTGCTAAAAGCAAAAACCTCACAGGTCATGGTAAATTATGGAGTGTAAATGCACATTTATAATGTGGGATTTATGGAATTGCACACCATACACTGTAAACAAGGTTTCCACAAATTCTGACCAATAAATTTATATTTCTGTCCTAGTCTTTTGTGATCACTGGATAAGTATTTAAAATATATAAAATTTTACATAGATTATATATCAAATATGTATCCTTACAACAACTATCCTTAGCTAATAGCTAATAAATAAAAATGAGCTTTGCATAGCTAGAAAAATTCATATTAAAGGACGGTAAGAATTTTGACCGATTAATACAATCAGTTAAACGGTTTTAAAAGTCATTTAATTATTTATTTTTTCAGTAATTTATACAAATATTTAAAACGGATTGCTGCATGGTTAAAATATGCTACACGTATAAAAAATGTGTTTTTTAGGGGGAAAAAAACATAAGTAGCGTATAAGTCGCATTTTATTATTTCATTCAGAAATAGGCCTAATGCCGACGCGAAATG